CCTTTAAATATAGTTCCTCATGTTGTGACCCCCCAACCATAAAATCATTTTCGTTGCTACTTCATAACTGTAATTTTGCTACTGTTATGAATCGTAATGTAAATATCTGATATGCAGGATGGTCTTAGGTGACCCCTGTGAAAGGGTCGTTTGACCCCCAAAGGGGTCGCGACCCATAGGTTGAGAACCGCTGCCTTAGAAAGTCCTGATGAACCCCAGGGGTATAGTGAGTACCTACAGCTTTAACAAATTTTCCAGATCCACAGCTTTTACATATTCTAAGGTGCCTCTCCTTTGCCCTCTGGCAGTTTTTCAGTTTAAATTCTGAGAAAGAGGGCCCACTGGGATCCTCCACACCTTGGAAGTAACCTTCTTACCCCACTGCGAGAGGTGTCAGTTGTGTCAGTCTGTGTGCTACTATCCTGCACTTCTGGGTGAGGGGCAGTCAGCTGGCTCTTCCAATTCCGCAGCGGGCGAGAGAGAACCTCCAGAATGAGAAGAGAGTTCATCAAGTTATCTTCCAGGTCGTGTCGAGATAAGGCGGTCAGATCTGGAGGGTGGCTGCAGCAGAAAGAGAACGTGAGGAGAAAAAAGATAGGGGAAGGGATGGAAGTGGCAGGTCCGGGTTAATGAAGCCGAGAAGGCAGCAGGATATTGGGACACTTACTTCCCCCATAGGAGATGCTCCCTCTCAGAAGCACTGTCCTCGGTGCCCAGCAGGCCTGTCTGGGATGTGTTTGTACTCTTCTCCTGCGGCGGCGCTGGGGGAGTAAACCAAGTCCCCACCGAGCAAGTAGAGAAAGGAGCAGTGCCCGCGGCAGCGTCCTGAAGCGCAGAGGGAAGGGACAGGCTCTGGCGGAGGTTTTCCAGCACGACTGAAGTATTTACACCTTTTTCCAGCCAGGCCAGTGGCGACATCCAAGGCCCTGTGTCAGAGATGAGAATCCTGCCAGCATCTTCTACTGCTGGGCCCGGGGCTGCCTGGGATTCCATTTCTCCTGGATTTGGGGTCAGGCATGTGGACGGAATATCTTGCGTATCTGAGACAAGTGTTTGATCTCTCAGTTCAGCCTCCTCGGGGAGTATGGAAAAGCTCACTTCTCTTTCCTCTATAGCTCTGCGCTCTACAATATCCTGCCCTGAGTCCACATGACTGACAGGGAAATCCGCTGGGAAGGCAGTTGAAGGGGGAAGACAGAGCATGGAGGAAGGCAAGAAGGCGTTACTTTCAGAAGACACTAAGTCCCCGGGCACAGTCTCGGTTTTACTGTCCCTCGGGCTTTCCTTGGAACAGGGTAGCTGTTGCTCAGAACAGGGATTTGGTGGATGCTCCAACAGATGGGCTGGAGGGTCCTGAAATGTAAGTTTCTCAGGCATAGCAGGAACAACTTCTGAAAAGCTGTCTTTCATGCAGGGTTCCACCCCATTTCTCAGCAGATCTCCTGGCCTCAAAGGCTCATCCAGAGAAAACCTGTCTGTCTCAGCTATGGTATTCAAATGGGCCCCAAGTGTGATGTCTTGCTGCTGCCCTTCTGCAGAGGGTACAAGGACCATGGTTTTAACCGCATTGTTTTCCACTGGGTCTACTGCTTCCTCAGATGTTTTGGGAGTAGAGTTGTTTTGGGGAATCAGATTTAGGGGCTGCTCATCTGATTCATGTTGACAAGCTTCTAGCCACTTTGAGGGATGGCTGAACTGTTCTGATGGGGAGTCTGTCATCTTAGCATTTTCAAAATCCAGTGGAGATGAGCTGTTGCTGCCCTCCTGCCAAAGAAAACAAAAGCAGTTGACTAAGGCAATCAATTCCGGTTCTCAACATACAGTGACAGGTGAAAGATACTGTTCAAATTTGAAAAAGAGTAAGAGTTCTCATGACCTCTGCTTAGGTAAGATCTTGGCTAAGCCTTGCCCCTCAGAGACCCAATAGCAGGGAAAGAAAAGCTAGGAAGCTATTTTGGATCCTTCCAAGTGAATCCACCTATAGTAAAAGCAGGGCTGAGATAATTTATCTATATCAAAGTGGCCCCACTCCTCTTAAATTCTAACTCCAATTCACTTCTAGGGGGAACAGGTAAGAGGGGGTCCCTAGGCTCAAGCTCTGTTAGAATCTAGAGTTGGGCCAAGATTTTTCTCCTTCTCCAACAGAGTTAGAGAGCACTTGGCCCACAGAGACCCATGGACCCTAGGGAGAAAGGGCAACATCAACCTGTGCCAGTAACCTAGTCTCCTTGACCACAAGAGCTGAGGGCATCCTGAATACATGGGTTGAATCCACTGAACAGCTGGGATTTGAAGGGCTCTAGTCTTTGTAGCAGAGGGGAATAAAGAGCAGAAAGACTTCCTCCTAGTGCCCTAATAAGAGACTAACAACCTCCCTACTGCTAGTTCACAAGGACCACTGTACCTTCTACCACTTGCAGGGTTGCTGCTCCTGAGACTCAATGAACAAGAAAAGGAAAATACACATGCACTTAAGTGGATCTAGTAACCAGAGAAAGAACAAATCCTAAGATAATTAGAAAAGGTAGACCCCAACAAAACACAGCTGATGGAAGAAACAGATGACAATTTGAACTCAAAAAAGAGTATATAAAAACAAGTACAATGCATACACACACACACACACACTCACTTTCTGGAAATAAATATTACTGTTAAACAAAAAATTTCAGTAAAATGAATTGGAAGAGGATGGTCAGAGTTGAGACTGGCATTACTGGCCTGGACAATCAAATGGAAGAAATACCTTAAAGCAAAGATAAAAATACGCTCCCTCCACCCCCGCCCCCCCAAAAAAGTAAATCTTAGGGAAAAGCTACAAGAATTGGAATATAAATCCAATAAGTCTAACATGTGAATAAAACAAATTCCAGGAGAAAAGAGAACATATATAGGTGCATCACTGATTAACAAATACGTATTAGAAGAAAATTTCTCTAAAGACCTGAGTTTGCATATTGAAATGGCTCATCAAGTTCCAAAGAGATTAACAAGAAAAAAATAAAATTCTGAACTACAAGGGAGACAAAACTTTTTTTTTTTTTTTGCTTAGCTTCACTTTTCCTCTCTAATTTGCCCTTCCTCTGGAATTAATCTCTCCTACACGTGCCCTGCTCTTCCCATGTAACCAATTCATTTTAACATCCTGATGTATATCCTTCCATATTTTCCTCTGTGTTCTTTTAATAATATGCAACATACAAAATTACTTTATTGGTAGATCACAAAATAATTCTCATTATGTGTAGTAGTTATGTTCTATAAAGTCTCTGTGAATACTTAATTAGCAAATACTGAACTGCTGCTCCTAGGGGAAATATAGGGTATGTTCCTGCAAATTTCCTAGCAAACATTTTTATTAACCAATGAACTCAAATCTTATTTTACGTGTGTTTTTGTTCTAAAACACCTTATTTAATATATATTGTTGATTCATTAACATTGAAGTCACAGCCAACATCACTGATGCCTGCATGAAGCTTATTTAACTCATATAACGCACATCATAGCTTTCTTGCACTTAGGAACACTAGCCAGCACTTCAGCACTTATGTTTGGGGGCCATTTAAAACAGTGAAGTAACCAACTTAAAACACAAAATTTGAAAACCATGGCACTAAAATAGATCATGAGAAAGACATTTGTTTACAGTATGACCACTAAAACAAGAAGACAAAATGTCACCTTGTTCAACCTCAGCTGGGGATGTGTGTTTAAGGCGCTTCCTATTTTACTTTTTTATTTTTTTTGCTTCTCTGCATGTCCAAAAGTGTTGCAAATATTGATTTTGAGATTACAAATAACTTTTAGTGAGGTGAATTCACAAATACTGAATCCACAAATAATGAGGTTTGACCATATCCATTTCTCTGCATGCTGTTCTCATTTAACAATGTGCAAATCTCTCCATGTCAACAAAAAGCACACAAATGTAAAAACCATTGCACTAAATAGTTGGTGTAGAACTAATCCATAAGCTTCTATGGTGTGCATGAATCATAATTCATTAACAAATGGTCATTTGTTTCCATTTCTGCTTTGCTTCTACAAACAGTGCTAACATAAATAGCTTTGTACATATATAGTATTGCCTCTCTGTCAGCTGTCTGATCTCTGTCTGTGAGTCCATGTTAGAGGAAGACTACTAATCAAAATGATAGCATTTTCCTCTAACTTGGTAAAGATTAAACGGGGGAGGAGGTGATAAAATCTAACAGCTAAATAGAGATCCAGATTCTCAGTGGATTTTCTTTAACCACCCCAGAGCACCTCTCTGTTGGCCTGGATAGCTGTAAATAGATGTCACTAAGGTAGAAGACTTCATTATCGTTATTAATTACGTTCCAGCTCTGACCCTCAGTTCCTCTGAGCTGTCGGCCTCGGCAGAGAGCCCAGTGGAGAAGCTGGCCAGACGCATCTCACCTGCAGCCCCAGTTTGCACAGCGATGGGGTCAGCGAGTAGCATATCCCAGGCCCCTTCGCAGAGCTGGTGAGGGCTTCGGGCTGCAGGTTAAGCTCGCGGAGAGGCGTTCTCACAGGTGGTTCTCCCTAAGAAAGAATGAGACAGTGAGAGGAAGCCTGTGCTCTCAGCCCGCTCCCCACCCTCCCCGCTAAGAAGCTCAGGGCTCAGGGCTCGTACCCAAGAGGCGCTGAAGCTCCAGGACCCAGGAAACACTCCACGCGCCCCCGCCCCCGCCCCCGCCCCAGGCTGGACTCAGCTGTCTCTCTCCTTGAAGCTCTCCGCTCACCGGTTGGGGCGATGGCGACAGGCTCAGTTCTTTCACCCGCCACATCTTCGACACAGAACACAGACTGATCACCTCACAAACCGAGAGGTGACGGCTAGCTCACCCGTCGTCTTCATTTTAAAACTGCTCCGCGCTTCCGGATTGGCTGCGAAGCCCCAGTGCGTCAGTCTGGCGCGTCCGCTCGGGGCTCCAGACTGGTGGGCGGTGGAAGGAGGGCGGGGCCAGCGCAGGCCACGCCCCTCCCGGCCCAGGGTTGCGCGCGTTCTCTGGGCGGACTCCTCACCGCAGACGCGGACGGGAGGGTCGGACGCGCGCCCACCTGAGGCCAGTTCGCAGCCTCACCTCGGGGACGGTATGTAGGTAGCTGGAAAGTCAAGGAGCCCATCCCTTCGGCCGCCAGCGGGCCACCCTCTCACCCCGTCAGTAAAGTTGGTTTCCCTCAGTTACCTCAGCCTCAGCCGGGACCAGAAAACCGGCCTGGAGTCTTGAAAGGAAAGGTGAGTGGAGCGTTTTTTACTTCGGCTGAGACGTAACCCGCGCAGTAATTTCGTCGCTTCAAATGTCTAGTGTTTTCGTGGGACTCACCTCAGGGCCTGCGGCGAGTTGATTGGAACAATAGTTAACATGTATTGAACATTTACTATGTACCTGGCACTGTTACAGTTGCTTTACACATAAATGTAATGCTTTACACATAAATGTTTACAGCACCTACTTTATTGATCCGTATGAGTATTAAAGGACTCCTTTAATACTCATACGGATCAATAAAGTAGGTGCTGTAAACATCCCCGCTTTACAGATGAAGGAACTGAGTCATAGCCACGCCCCGCGGGTGGTAAATGGCAGTCAATATTCCAGCCCACAACTACCAGCTACATTGCCTGCCCGCTGGGTGGGAAATGCAGCCTAGCTATTGAAGGTAGAATTGAGTTTGGGGAACAGTTAAAGGTAAGTATCTATAATAATAAAAGTGCAATATGCTAATTAGACCAGACAGCGGGATGTCCTTACCCACTACCTTCCAGATGAAGTCGGGACTGCAAGGGCCCAGCCCCTGGCAGGAATTTCGTGCAAGGGGTCTCTAGTTTAGAGATAATAGTTGATGATAAAGTACTTTCCTTTGACCACTTACAGCACCTAATTTACACTCTGAAGTCTGAATGAATTTGGAAAAGGCAGTATGTAATCCAAAGAGGAGGAACTATGATGTTAGGAGCTGCAGGGCCCACAAGGGATGTGTTCCCTTAGAACTGTGCTGTCCAGGACGGTAGCAACTAGCCACATGTGGCTACTGAACACTTCAAGTGTGACCAACCCAAATTAAGATGTTATAGGCATAAAGGAAAAAGAAAAGAAAAATATATTATAGGCATAAAAATACAAACTATGTTTCAAAGACTTTATTTTTTTTTTTTTAAATATATTTTATTGATTTTTTTACAGAGAGGAAGGGAGAGAGATAGAGAGTTAGAAACATCGATGAGAGAGAAACATCCATCAGCTGCCTCCCGCACATCTCCTACTGGGGATGTGCCCGCAACCCAGGTACATGCCCTTGACCGGAATCGAACCTGGGACCCTTCAGTCCGCAGGCTGATGCTCTATCCACTGAGCCAAACCAGTTTCGGCTCAAAGACTTTATATTAAAAAAGAATGTAAAATATTTTTTAAATATTGATTATATGTTGAAATATTGTAGCTATATTGGTTTAAATAAAATACATTAAAATTAATTTCACCTGCCCTAACTGGTTTGGCTCAGTAGATAGAACGTCGGCCTTCGGACTCAAGGGTCGCAGGTTCGATTCCGGTCAAGGGCATGTACCTTGGTTGCAGGAACATCCCCAGTGGGGAGTGTGTAGGAGGCAGCTGATCGATGTTTCTAACTCTCTATCCCTCTCCCTTCCTCTCTGTAAAAAAAATCAATAAAATATATTTTAAAAAAATTAATTTCACCTGTTTCTTTTTACCTTTTTCGTGTAGCTACTAGCAAATTTAAAATTACTAATGCGACTTACATTTCTATTGGACAGCACTGCTCTAGAAACATAATAGCCCCCGACTGCATGGCGAACCTTTTGAGCTCGGCGTGTCAGCATTTTGAAAAACCCTAACTTAACTCTGGTGCCGTGTCACATATAGAATTTTTTTTTTAATATATTTTATTGATTTTTTACAGAGAGGAAGGGAGAGAGATAGAGAGTTAGAAACATCGATGAGAGAGGAACATCGATCAGCTGCCTCCTGCACATCTCCTACTGGGGATGTGCCCGCAACCCAGGTACATGCCCTTGACCGGAATCGAACCTGGGACCTTTCAGTCCGCAGGCCGACGCTCTATCCACTGAGCCAAACTGGTTCCGGCAGAAATTTTTTTTATATTTGCAACCATAGTAAAACAAAGATTTATATTTTTGATATTTATTTTATATATTTAAATGCCATTTAACAAAGAAAAATCAACCAAAAAAATGAGTTCGCATGTCACCTCTGACATGCGTATCATAGGTTTGCCATCACTGCACTAGAATTAACAGTTGCTTGAATGGAAAACTGGGAGAAAGAACGTTAGAGCACCAACTTAAGTCTGTGATTTCCCAAGACTCAGCAGAAGGAATCCCAAGGTATATTGGTATGTACTTCTGGTTTAAAAAGAGTCAACAGCCCTAGCTGGTTGCTCAGTGGTTAGAGCGTCAGCCCAGGGACTCATGGGTCTCAGGTTTGATTCTGGGTAAGAGCACATATACCTCAGTTGCAGGCTCAATTGCTGGCCCTGGTCAGGGTGCGGGAGGCAACCAATCAATGTGTGTCTTCCACATTGATATTTCTCTCTCTCCTGCACCCTTGCACTCTCTAAAAAAAAAAAAAAAAATCAATGGACCCTGCCAGTGTGGTTCAGTGGTTGAGCATTGACCCATGAACCAAGAGGTCATCAGTTTGATTCCTGGTCAGGGCACATGCCCGGGTTTTGGGATTGATCCCCAATAGGGGGCACGTGGGAGGCAACTGATCAGTATTTCTATCTCTCTATCCACCTTCCTTCCTCTCTAAAATTATCTATAATAATAAAAGCACAGTATGCTAATTAGACCAGATATTCTTCCAGATGACCTTCTGGACAAAGCTGGGGCTGCAAGGGAAGCCGGAGTCCTGGGTGCCTGGACCGCCAGAGGGAAGCCGGTGCCAGCAGCCAGGAAAAGGAAGACCTACTCTTGCACAAATTTTGTGCATCGGGCCTCTAGTATATATATAAAAGCTTAATATGCAAAGTGTCCCCTCAAGAGTTCAACCGGGAGTTCAATCGCTCACTATGACGTGTGCTGACTACCAGGGGGTGGTGTGGAATGAAAGAAGGCCCTGGTCAGCAGCCGGCAGCTGGGGAAGGGAGGCCCCGGCTGACAGCCAGCAGCCGCTAGGGACCCTACCCATGCATGAATTTCGTGCACTGGGCCTCTATAATAAAAGTGTAATATGATAATTAGACCAGATGTCCTTCTGGACGAGGCAGCCGCCACTGGCGGCTGCAAGGGAGGGATCCAGGCAGCCGCAGCTGCAAAGGCCTACTCTTGCACAAATTTTGTGCATTGGGCCTCTAGTCAATAATAATAAATATTTAAAATTATTTTTTTAAATGCGTGAATAGGAATGCTTAACCCTTGTTGTAGTTGGTATGTCTGATGCCAGGTGTACAGTCAAAAGGATATGGTGTTTCCAGCAGCAAATTAAGGATATGGAGGGGTAGATGTGAGAAGGAAAATACCATTGTAAATAGGTAACATAAACAGAATTCATTTCTTGGTGTATAATAATTTTTTTTAATTTGATGTTTTTTAAATTATAAAAATAGATACTTGTTACAGCAAATGAAACAATAAAATGCAAGGATGTATTTAAAGGCAAAGCTCCCCTGCCCGAAGTAACCAAAGTGTGTACACTTTTATAAACATATATGCACACGTGTGTGTTTCATTTACATACACATACATTTTTTAAAAATATTTTTTTATTGATTTCAGAGAGAAAGGGAGAGGGAGAAAGAGATAGAAACATCAACAATGAGAGAGAATCATTGATCAGCTGCCTCCTGCATGCCCCATACTGGGGATTGAGCCCACAACCTGGGCATGTGCCCTGACTGGGAATCGAACCACGACCTTCTGGTTCATAGGTTGATGCTCAAACCACTCAGACACACCAGCTGGGCGACACACACACATTTATTTTATCCACAAAATTAACTGATATGCAGACTGGGGTCTCTGGGATTGAGAGCTAGTGCCTTTCTATTTTTTCTGTTCTCTTTCCACTTGCATTACTCCTCTCTTCCTTCCATTCTTTTTCATGTTCTCTCTCTCTCTCTCTCACACACACACACACACATACACACAAGGTTGGGAAAGAAGGCATTGAGTTCTTTACAAAAATTTGACATAATTTCTTACACTTATGCATTTCTTTATCAATGTCTTGTATAGAGCCTCTAAGTCAACTGATATAGATCTGATTGACTTGTCACTTCATATTCCTTGCCCTTAAAAAAACACGTTCTTTTCTGATTTGTAAGAGTTCTCTGTTATAGACATTATATATATATATATATATATATATATATATATATATATATATATATATAAATCTTTATTGATTTCAGAGAGGAAGGGAGAGAGATAGAAACATCAGTGATAACAAAGAATCATTGCTCTGCTGCCTCAGGGATCAAGCCTGCAACTCGGGTATATGCCCTGACCAGGAATGGAAATGTGATTTCCTGATTCATAGGTCAGTGCTCAACCACTGAGCCACTGTGGCCGGGCTGTGTTATAGACATTAACTGTCATCACATTGTATTTTTTAAGATCTATTTTTTTGTCCACTGGCTTTATTAACTTTTTAAAATATTTTTATTGATTTTTAGAAAGAGAGGAAGGGAGAGGGATAGAGATAGAAACATCAATGAGAGAAAAACATCAACATCAGTCAGCTACCTTCTGCACAGCCCTTGCTGGGGATTGAGCCCGCAACCTGGACCTGTGCCCTGACAAGGAATCAAATCAGTGACCTCTTGGTTCCTGGGTTGATGCTCAATGCTGAGCCACACCAGCTAGGCTGTCCATTGGCTTTATTAATGCAATCTTGAGCCATACAAAGATCAAACTTATGTGGTCAGGAAGTTTTTCCTTTCAGAGCATCTGGATTTCTTGAGTGATTCATTCATCAACTTTTTAAGTAAATGTTTTCCGTTTTCTTTTATAGTGTTTTCATTTTCTTTCTTGGTTTAGGTATCTCCTCCAGTCCCTGAATGTAGGTCTAGTCTCCCAAATGTTCTTCTGAGATTCTTAATGTTTTGATGTTCACATTTAAAGCCTTAATGTATTTGGAATTAAGTTTTGTAGGGACCCAACTATTTAAAAACAATTGTACTTCTTTAAATTTTAGGATTAGAGATTGCTTATTTTGTAAAAATCCAATTCCATAACCCAAATCAGCAATTAAGAAATATCCACCAGGCAGTTCTTCTGAGTGAACTCAAGGATGAAACCATCCTTGAGTTACTACTGTTATGATGGAGTACTGAACAAAGGAGGCAATGTGACAATTCTATAAACCAACAAAACTCAGAGAGAGGCTAGTGAAATCTGAAATAATAACATGTTCTCAGAATATAAGCAAAACCAACCTGTAGGAAAGAAGGTATTTTTTGTTTTTAAATCATTCTTGATTAATCTATTAGAACTCTCTATAGCGGCTGTACTAATTTGCTAGGGCTGCCATAACAAAGTACCAAAGACTGGGTGGCTTAAACAACAGAAATTTATTTTTTCATAATTCCAGAAGCTAAAAGTCTGAGATCAAGGTGTCAGCAGGGTTGGTTTCTTCTGAGGCTTCTCTCGTTGGCTTGTAGATGTCTGTCTCCTAGTATTTTTATATGGGCTTCCCTCTGTGTGTCTGTGTCCTAATTTCCCCTTCTTTATAAGGACACCCATCATATTGGATTAGGGCTCACCATATGACCTCATTTTAACTTAATTACATCTTTAAAGACCCTATCTCCAAATGCAATCACATTCTTAAGTACTGGGGATTAGGACTTCAGCATGTGAGTTGAGGGAGAGACATAATACAGCACATTCAAGAGGTTAATAATACAATGAGTATTATTTTATTTCATTAATTTAATTTTTTTTAAAGCTTTGACAAGGTTTTTACATTGAAAACTACTTTAAGAAGTAACCAAAGAGCCTCAGCTGGGTGGCTCAGTTGGTTGGAGCATTGACCTATACACCAAAATGTTTTCTGGTTTGACTCCTAGTCAGGGTACATACCTAGGTTTTGGGTTCCATCCCCGGTTGGGGTGTGTAAGGTAGACAACTGATCAATGTTGCTCTCTCTCCCCCTTCCTCTCTCTCTAAAATCAATAAAGCATATCCTCAAATGAGGATTAAAAAAAAGAGGTAACCAAGGAATTGAGATTACCAGTTTTTAAAATCAATGAACAGGTAAACAAATGAACAGTTCAATATATGATAAAGTAACTTAGTTTAAAGGTGAGAAACTGAGTAGAGCTACAAAGACACTTTTCTAGAACAGGAATATAAGGATTGGTGTTGAGGCTAATCTTAAATTCTTTAAAAAAAAAAAAAAAAAAAAGGCAGAAGGGAACTCTGGCTGGCTGGCTCAATTGGTTGCAGTGTTGTCCTGTACACCAAAAAGGCTGCTCATTCAATCCCCAGTCAGGGCATGTACGACAGGCAACCAATCAATGTTTCTCTCTCTCTCCCTCTCTCAAAATCAATAAAAAACAAGCATATCCTCAGGTGAGAATTTTTTTTTAAAAAAGAAGCGAGTACAGGGTAAAATATCCATATTTACAGGTGTATCTGTTTTCTTCTAGGTAATGAAAAATCAAAGCATAGCGTTAAACTTAAAAGATCATTTCAGGTTGTATATTTTTAAAAATTTAAGTGAATTTAATATAAATAAATAAAGGTATTACATTTATAGGTCAGTGATTCTGAATGATAGGAGAGGGTGATGGAAAGAATGTCTTCCGGGGATGAACATATCAAAACTAGGGCGCATGGCACAATGCTCTTTTCAAATTATACTGTCTGAAACTTTGATTTTCTGTCATCCCCTCCACACTACCCTGAAAATCACTGTTGTAGTGCACCATCGATTGAAAAGAGTATGATAATAATATCCTTACTTGGTAAGAAATTATTCAAACTACACTTACATAATCATAGTCTTTAAGCAATCTAATATGACCTAGGAAAGGGACCTAGTGACATTATGTTAACCATGTCCTAAAGACTTTAACCCAATATACTTCATGACCAGAGAAGCTATATAATGTTGGGTGACCTGAACATTAATTAACACTGGGCCAGACACATAGTTTCATAAAATAATCTGCCCTTTGAAAAAGCATCACAGATATCTGAAACCCATCCCCCACAATTAAGAACCAGTGGCTAGCCCAGCCGGAGTGGCTCAGTTGGGTGAGTGCCGTCCTGTGCACCAAAAGATTGCTAGTTCATTCAATGTTTCTCTCTCACATCGATATTTCTGTTCCTTTCTCTTTCTCTCTCTCTCTCTCTCTCTCTTTCTCTCTCTCTCTCTCTCTCCCTCCCTCCCTCTCTCTCTCTCTCTCAGCATGTCCTTGGATGAGGATTTAAAAAAAAAACCCAAAACTAGTGGCTATAAACCAGTCATTTCATACATAGGAAACTAAAATCCAGAGAGGTTACAATGACTTCTGTAAAGACACCAAGATAGTATTGGTGGATCCAGGAACCAGGTCTAAATTCCAATACTGTTAACTACTATTTTAGAAATCATTATTTCTATTTCTAGTATTCAGGGGTTGTTGTTTTTTAATACGTTTTTATTGATTTTAAAGAGAGGAAGGGAGAGGGAGAGAAATAGAAACATCATCAATCGGCTGCCTACTGCATGCCCCCTACTGGGGAGTGAGGCCACAACCCAAGTATGTGCCCTGACCAGGAATGGAACTGATGACCTCTTGGTGCATGGTATGACACTTAATCCACTGAGCCACACTCGCCGGGCAGTATTCATGGTTTTTATCCAATGTACAGTCTGGTCACTGCAACTTAAATGTAAATAAAAGCTTAAAAAGCTCAGCCAGCCCAGTTGGCATGACTCAGTGGTTGAACATCAACCTATGAACTAGAAGGTCATGGTTCGATTCCCAGTCAGGACATATGCCAGAGTTGTGGGCTTGATCCCCAGTGTGGGGCATGCAGGAGGCAGTGATCAACAATTCTCTCTCATAATTGATGTTTCTATCTCTTTCTCCCTCCCCCTTCCTCTCTGAAATCAATAATAAATGTTTTTTAAAAGCTAAAAAGTATCTAAGAGAAATAAATGAAATAATAAAAAAGATTAGATACATTCTTTTATTTATTTATATGCCAACCTCATTCCCAAAGGGCTTACAAAGATGCAGATAATATAGTAAGATAAAAATATTAAAACATAGGAAAATAAAGGAAACCAAGAATGTGGCTAGCTTACAATATACATAACATGAAGTCCTAAACACTTGCTGGATGGAAGCAGCCACCAATTGGCTCTAAGTAGTTTAGCATCAATATGAAGAGAAAAATACAGTCAGTAGAATATTTAGCTTCTTTAAGGTAAAACCAAACAGCAATGCAGGAAAAGCACAACTGGATTCAGAGAAAATTTATCCCATGCATCTTTAAAAAGAACATTATGAATATAGTCATAAATACCCTTTACAGTTTCTATAGCAATTAACTTTCATAGGGATTTGATACGAATTGCCAAAGTGCAACCCAGAAAAAGCAATTCTAAAGAGGCCGATAAAATACTAGCAATGTACAGGGAAAATCTGGCATAATCCAGGGACAGAATTAAAAGAAGTACACAGGATACCTGCCAGACTTTTTGGTTCGGAAAAAGAGATCAGATATAATTGAAGAATAATAAAAATAAAGCTTTAGAGAAGTTAAAGAAAAATTTAAAGAATAAAGGCCAGAAATGTATACAAATTTAAGGTCCAGATGACTTTTCTCACTAAGGGAAAAGGTTCTTAAATTTTAAGGTTGAGCCCTAGCCGGTTGGGCTCAGTAGATAAGAGCATCAGCCTGAGGACTGAAGGATCATGTGTTCGATCGCCTGGGTTGGGGGCTGGATCCCGGCCCTGGTCTGGACACATGCGGGAGGCAGCCAATCGATGTTTCTCTCCCTCTGTGTTTCACCCCTCCCTACCACTCTCTAAAAATCAATGGAAAAATATCCTCAGGTGAGGATTAACAAGAATAAAAAATTTTAAGGTTGATGTCATGCCTCTTAATCCCTTGGTTTGCCCATTAGAACTGAATCCTGGGATGTGTAGGACAATGATCGATATAAGAATCCTAATGTCTTTCAAAGGGGTTTTGATTTGGAAGAAATTTGTAAAACTATTTCAATTACCCCTCAAGACATTTACCCGACCCATGTTTCAGTCCCTATTTATTCTCTTCCTCACATTTGGCTGTTACAATTTACTTAAAATTTTTTTAAAAAATTTATTACAGACTGGCTTTGGCCCCCAGAATCATATGCTTTAGGTGTATACCTGGGTTGAAATGCCAGCTTTTGAGACCTCTGAAAAATATTCATACTGCTTCTAACAAGCCTGTTAAACACATAAATAGCACCTTGGAAAATCATCAAGTGTTATTATTGCTCAAAGAAAGAAACGTGATTCAAAAACAAGGAGGGGGGGAAAGTGAAATAAGCCTCTGGCTAAAAGCTTCAGGGTATGAGCACTAAAGAAATAAAGCAGAGGAAAAAGTCAACACTTTGATCTGAGATGTTGAATTGAGAGGTGTGTTGTATAATAGGGGAAGAGCTAGGTCAGTCGTGGCTGCCAAGAACAGAATGCCCAAGATTTAAACTCAGGTACAATGCCTAGAACAGCAGTCGCCAACTGGTGGTCCACGGACCACTGGTGGTCCATGAGGTCTGAAAGGTTGGCGACCACTGGCCTAGAACAAGCATGTCACACTCACGGCCCAGCCACGTTTGACATGTTTGGCCTAGAAGAACAATAAGAGGCTACAAAGTAAAAACAAAACTGGATCATCGAGGTGGTCATACTGAGTTGGCAATGGAGGAGATGCTCAGGTTTCCAGATGGGCCCCAGTTTATAGTAGAGGGGGCTCAAGCAAGTCCAGGGTAGACCAGATAGGACTCCAGGTTACAGTCAAAGTCCTTGAACAGCATGGACTCTGATGGACTAGGCTGGGTAGCTTGAGTCTCCATGACAAAGTTCACTGGCTGTTTCTGTAGGAGCTCTGGGTCAAAGGCCACACCCCGAAAGAAAGGGTGGACCTGGAATCGATGCAAATGATGTAGACGCTGGAGGGGATTCTGGCATAAGAGCTGAAGGGAAACAGAGCAACAAGGAATAGGGACCGGGATGGGAAAGGGGCTGTTAACAGAGAAGCTGGAAAGGGAAAAAGAAGTTCATGGAAAATAAAAAGAAAAAGAAAAAATAAAAGAAGTTCATGGAGCTGTGGAGGGCAGAAAAAAGAACCCTAAAGAGGAAAGGACTTGTAAAAGAGGGAGATAGGCTAATTTGGGGGCAAACGCAGGAATAAAGGAGCTGTATTGGTAAGAAAGCAGCACTGGCCCACTCTCTCAGAAGTGACCTGTATGTTATGGATGGCTAGGATATTTGGAGGACCAGGAACTCAGGAATGAAATTTTAAATGCTAGTTAGAGGGCAAGTGGTGACACATAGTACTTGATGAAGTTGAAGTTGGCCATCTGCCACCACCTCCCCCCCAAATAATCACAGGAATAGGGAAATACCACTTCAATCATAGGGAAAGGAGTGAATAGTTAGTTTGGTAATGAAAAAGGAAAGTGTGCTCATCCTTACCTCATGGAGTAGAAGTGAGAGCCCCTGGTTAAGAGAAGCTGGGATCTCAGAGTCAAAGTGGGTCACACTTGCCAGCATGGTCACATGATCTCTCTCTGCAGCCACTGGGAACTAAGTTGAGGGGTGGGAGGGTGTCATTTCTTAGTAAGAAAAAGGCAAGGTTTCCTAAGGTCTTCCTTCTTCCCACCACAAGACAAAACTCCTCTTTTCTCCCCAGCATCACTACCATTCTCTCACCTCTCCAGTTGCCAGAGAGAAAAGCAAAACACCCAGGGACCACCAATCAGCCGCATGGTTGTAAGGCCCTCCTCTCAGGACCTCTGGGGCTACAGATTTGAAAGATACTTGTCATTGACATCTGTTGCCTATCCTCTTGCCCAATTCTTACCCACCTGCTTTGGCCTTTTTCTTACCCATGTATTGAAGAGTGCCACAAATAGTATAGGCTCGAGCTCCTTGGGGCAGGTGGCGGGAAAGACCAAAATCTGTCAGTTTCAGATGACCTATATAAAAGATAATGCAACAGCACCACTCTGTTCCATCCCTCATCAGCCCTGGCGCATTCCCAAACTTGAAGTACCTCGCATTCCGGGGCTAGGAAAAGAAAAGGATTTACCTCGTTTATCCAGGAGGATATTCTCCATCTGAAAAATCACAGGTGAGAAAGTATTATTCATCTTACTCATTTCAACCCTCTTTCATCGTGTATACCCCCCAGCTGAAGAAGATGCCCCACTCAACATTCAGGTCTATACATGGAAGGTCCTTGCCCAAATCTTTAGCACCCACGAGGGTCCCAAGGTGAGTTGTTCTCAGCTCCCCCATGCCTTCTTGGACCTGTGGAACTTACTAAGGCACCTCCTCAGACAAAGAAAAAAAGCACTTAACTCTACCTTCACATCCCGATGGATGATGCCCAAGTCATGGAGATAGCCTGTGGATGACAGCAAGCAGGGGGTGTGCTGAAGCACTCCTGTCCTTTCCAGTTTCCCTGGTAGTCCCACCCCATCCCTATCCCTGTTCTTTAATCTCTAGCATTAATATGGATTCTTTTTTTTTTTTTGGCCCCCATTCGATTAATTCTTCCCTCATTTCCATTACCACTCCCGTTTCACTTACACAGCACCAGGATCAGTTCAGCAGCAAAGAGGCGGATGGAAGCCTCAGTAAAGCAGCCAACAGCAGACCACAAGGAGTACAGATCTGTGCTACAGTAGCTGCACACTGCAAAGTACCAAAAGTCAAGGCATTATCTGAGGGCTACTGTGCCGGGCTCAAGGCATTATAGGCCTCCTGCCCAACCTGGTGCCACATGCTATATGTTCCCTCTCCAGGAGAGAAGTGCTGTGAGAAAGGGAACAGAACAAAGGCAGAACAAGCCAAAGGGATGGGTAATCTCAGGTGGGGAGAACGGTAGAGGGACCTTGGGAATGAGTAGAGAGACCACTCACTAATGAAGAGGTGCCGTTTTCCCTGCCAGCTGTCTCCCAAACCGTGTACAAAAGGATGGTCAATCTGTCGCTAGGGACAAAGTAAACAGGAAATTAGGGAAGAACAGGATAACTGAAGATCAAGGCAACCAAGAAGTCAATGTCTGCCTGGTAATCCAGGAACCAGCATAATATTAAGAAACACACTGGGACATGCTGGAGAGATTTCCCTGGCACCACAGGCTGAGGTGACACCTAAGATGAGGCTGAGCTCGCCCAGGAGGGGCAGCAATGCTGGAGGAAGCTGCTGCACCTGCGTAGGGGGAGGCCCCTACCCAGCACAAGGAGGAGGAGGAGGATTGAGAGGGAGGTAGGGAGGAGAAAGATTTTACTATGCATTTTACTGTATGCCAACAGAAGTTGGGGATAAAGGTAACTGTGTCGGCAAATCTTGGTGACAACACAACAAATGCTTCTTCAGAAAAAACTAGTCCCTCTAAAGACACCGTGCGGTGTCTCAGAAACCCATGATAGCAGTAACATGGTAAAGAAGAAGGTGGCATCTGAGCTCCCCCAGGATGTGCCAGGTACAGCGTACAGTGTGTCAATGCCTCTAATGGGGGGAATGCGTCCCCTTTTGTAGTAAAAGCTGAATGTCACCTAAAACTTTAAAGTATATGTTCATTCATCCTGCTTGCTCACATAAGTGCCATCCCTGACTGCTAAATTGTCACCTAACATTTGTCAAACTCATCATAATCTTCATTTTAAAGTTTGTTTAGTTGTTTTTGTCTAATAGACTTATTTGTGTATTTTATCGCCAAACCATGTTAGCAGATATTTTAGTTTTAAGTACTTACATACTCAGTGCTGAATGATTTGACATTCCAATTCTGTATATGCTAACAGATTAATTGTATGTTTGCATGTGCTCGTGTAGTTTTTCTTTAACATTTCAAATCATAATAGAAAACCATTGTCATAAAATTTTTTGCAAGATATATTTGACATAAAATTTTAAGTTAATCAGTAATTCATTTTAAGCTTCTTAAAATATAAGCAAAACAATAAACACTGATGATTCCACTAAAAATCAAGAATTATAGTTAATAACCTTGATGGAAATCCTAAATTTTTTTTCTACATATTATAAAAATATTACATAATCTTTTCTCCTTCCAGTGCCTTTATTTTAGTTTTTCTGGTAGGAATGTAGGGATATCTTATTCTGGTTTGAACTTGCAGTTCCCTGGTGACTAAGGATGTTAAGCACCTTTTCGTGTGTATGTATGTGTATATATATACATACATATATACAGGTCACTTGGATGTCTGCTTTTGTGAAGTGCCTGTGAGCTCCTTTCTTCATTTTCTAGTAAGTGGTTTCTTTTTTGTGGTTGTTTCATGGGTGAGGGTAAATCCAGTCCCTCTACTCCATCTTGACTGGAAGCATTAATTCCTACATTGATTTCTTTTTAAGTGTTAACCCAATCTCATATTCCTAGAATAAATACAACTTGGTTGTGATCTATTTTCATTCTTATGTATTGCTTATTATTTTGTTTATAATTTTTATATCTACTTTCATGAGTGAGATTGGCTTATAGTTTTCCTTCTCTGATAATGTCCATGCCAGGCTTATATTGGCTTCAGAAAATGAGTGGGAACCAGTTCCCAACCACGAACAAAAAAAGGACTTAGACTAACTCTGCTGATAGCTACTTTTCCCAGGATCTACTCGGTTGAAGCCAAGGGAAGGGCAGAACCAGGAAAACCAGGACAGTTGGACAAGAGAGGTGTTTTCTCCACCTTAGTTCTTCCTAGGATCCTTCCCAGGGCCCTGTGCGTACCTGGATGCTAACCTCCTCTTTGCACTGCCTTAGGATGTCCTTCTGGAGGACCTTGACCTTGGGCACCACCTATAAAAGGATAGAAATGATGACTCCTAGAGGGGAATAGTGCTATTGAATTGTTTATTCCTCCTAATCTTTCTGGAACCAAAACTGGAGGCAGGGACTAGAAAATAATGTGGAAGGATATCTAGGTCCCTACCTTCACTGCAAATATTGCTTTCTGGCCACAGTCTAGCACCTTGAAGACAGTTCCAAAGGAGCCTTTAGCCACAAGGCCTAAAACCTGTACAGAAAAATGGAGAACAGGGAAATTGAGACTCTGGTTATTTCTAAATTTCTCACCAAGACTGAGACCCCTTCCAGTGATTCCATTGACCTACCTTTAGCTGCTGATGCTCCCTAAGGGGCCTAATGGGAAACTCCGGCAGAAAGAGGTTGATGAACTGAGGCACTGGCCACTCAGACAGAGGCTTCTCTACTAGCAGTGAAGCTGGCTCCTGATGCTGGCACAGATGCCCCCGCAGTCCCCACAGTTCTTCCAGGCCTGACCTGGTGGTCCCCACACCTGACCAGAGGCTCTTCCAGCCTCGGACCCAGGGGCCCTGGATGTTGCTACCCTGCTGAGAACCAAGGGAGCCACTCTAAACCTTCTGCCACTCAGGCATTACAGGTTCTGCCCATCTCAGCAGGTGCTCTCTCTAATTTCAACCCGAGAGATATATTTTTGAGACTAGGCAAAATCGCCACTACTACTATTGCTTTGGACCAAGAAAGGTCTAGATTTCCTGACTATAATTCACATCCTCTAGGAAAGCAGTATTTGGACATTTTCCCCATGAGGCATCAAAGATTCAGCCTGCACCTCCCAATATGGAGGTATACTTTCACAGTATAGCCTCCCAACCCCCACAGTGGGCATCACTAACATGCTCCACATCAGCCTCAAGCCCAGGTTTCCTTCACCTCCCCTAAACAGGCTGCCAGAGCCCACAGCCTACCTTATTAGAAAGAGCCACCTGGGCATGTTGCCCCTGCCGACAGTACACTGTTCCCATTCCCAGCCTCTGCCTCTTCCTCCTTTGACTAAATCTGCTGTCCCAGTTACATAAGCAGTTCCTCCCCCCAATGCTACATTACACATGAGCCCTGCCTCTTACTTGCTGTTCATAACTAGAGATGCAAGTGATGCAAGCAAACCTCACCTTTATCCCCAAATCCTATCATCCTTGGTTAAGAAGAGGTTTATAACCAGAACTAAAATGTGCAGAGAACTATCAGTATAGGGCCAGTATCACACCAGAGCTGGGATGGGAAATATCTGTGATACATTATTAGGCAGGAGGGAAGAAGCCAACCTCTCATAAGAGTGGCAGCTAGAGATGTGTCTTAGGTTGATGGGGAGGGAAGGATACATACAGGTTGAACCCATGCACTCAACACACACATAAAAAAAACAGCATCAAATTTAAAATATATTTTTTCTCTTTAAATCATTTTCTTACCATTCTCCAGGGCATTCCCCAGGGGGACCTATGGCCAGCCCTGGCTCCTGTCATCTCCCCAAGTGAGCCTGGCACAAATTGGGGGAGGGGCTGATTCCCCCCATAACACGAATACCTTTTATACAAGGCAGTGGAATGAGGGACAAATCAGCCCTCTGCCCCCCAACTTTCTGACACAGGGGGAGAGCAGTTACACTTAGAGAAATATATATATATATTTATATATGTCTATTTATAAAAATTTATCACACTTGATCAGAACTGTCCCCCACCCTTTCAGCTGACCCCAACGGAACCAGATCCTAGTCCTGGGGCCATTCCCTGGGTCTTGTTCTCTTGATGCCTCTCTGGCCCTCAGCCTGCTGATCAGTGTGAGGTAGAACTCAGCATTATTATCCACCATACTCTGCAGAGAACAGGTCAGCTGCTAAAGAGTAGTGCCTTTCTCTGCAGTACCCTGTGGGCTCCTACCCCAACAAGTCCTGGTGGATAAAGGGAAGTGCCTCCCACCCCACAAGTCCCTGGGGCCTGAGCCAGAGTCAGATCCTGTATTGCAGCCATTCTTGAATTGCCGGATCACTTGCGCCTGCCAAAAATGGACTTCTTGCCAGGGTTCTTGTTGCCCGCACTTAAACCGATGAGGAGCCGCGCTTTCTCCTCTTCTTCCTGCTGTTGCATGTTGAGGTCTGATTTAGTCTCTAGCTTTCCCCGGACCTCTGACCCTGTTGCAGGCTTCAGCCTTAGCTTCTCTTTGATTACCTGATAGGTCAGAGAGGAGTAAAAGGGAAGGTAAATATTAGTGGGACAGACAAAATAAGTCACAGTGAATCAATTCAATCAAGATTTATTAAATTTACACACAGGCACAATGGATGGAGTCCTTCAAATCCTAAAATGATCTCTGCTTTCAAGAAGCTTACAGTCTAATTAGAGCCATTCTAAACCTGAGTTTGTGTCAGCCCTCAGTTTCCTAAAAAATCAATAGTTAACATATGAAACCATAAACATTCAATTTAATCATCTGAACAAAGTCATGGAGAGAGCAGGGATAAAGTTGCTCACTTATCCACCTGTCCCATCCCAAGGCTGTCGTTAATACACACTACAATGAAACGCTCCTGAGCAAAGGATCTGCTTTCCAGATCCTGCTAACCAAACAGCCATGAACTCTGCCGGGATACCTGGGCAACCAGGGCTTTGCGGCTGTCCCTTTTGACAGCCATGGCAAAGTCTAGCCATGTCCATGTGTTGTTGTGGTACTCCAGACAGGGCAGCACCAGGTTAAGGTCACCCCAGTCCACACTGTTCTTCTCACCCTGCAAGAGAAGAATGGGGAGGGAAGAGAAAGAGGAAGAGAAGAACATATCATATGCCACTTTCAGTCCAAGCCAGTACTTGAGTCCAAGTCTAGTACCTTCCCATATAGCAGCAAACTACAGATAACGGATTTCCCCTTATCTCAGTCTGACAATGGGCCATCACCCATGGCCCAACTTCACAAGCTAGACTATTTCCCTGTCTTTAATCTATGATGATCTTATCTGGTTCCCTTCCCACCCTGTTCTAGAAAGTGCTGGGGAGGAGCAGACCTTGTAGCTGACGCACAGTGGGACCTGTGGAATCTTTATATAGATGAAGGAGTTGTTCATGGCAGCTCGTTCTTTCATCTTGTCAATATCATCCACAGGGTGCTAGGAAAGGCAAGAAAGGAGCATGAGCCCCTGAAACCATCAGAAGAAATTTGGGACCCCCAAACATCTCCCATCTCCCTTCATCCCTGGAGTAAACTCAAAGGCAACAGGAGAAATCCCCAGCCAAGCTTAACAGAGTATCCTAGGACTTCCATTTTTCTATCATTAGGGGCATGGCCAATACCTCTGGGGCTTTTCGAAATGACCTTCTGACCCCAGAACTCCGATTCAAGCCCTGTGCCACACCCTTCCCAGGGCCCAGTGCTGCTGCATCATCTGTTGCAATCAGCTGCCGCGGCTTCACCACCGGTATTCCTATGAAAAAGCAAGCACACCAGCTGTTGCCTTCTTTCTGGAGCTTCAGCTGTCTCTGAGGCTGCTATGCTACCCCAGTCTTCTGGAGCACCACCATAAAAGTTCTCACCAGTAGTCACCAGTTTGGACTTATCTTCCTCATCACCAACCTCATCATCTTCCACACTTCGACCAGGAAAGAAAAAGCCCATTATTCTATGGAAGAACTGGTGTGTCAGCTGGATGGTGAGAGGCACCACATTTACCTAAAGAGGAAAAAGGCTGAAGAAGCAATTAAGTTCAGACATCATCCCTCAGTTTACCTACCCCTAACAGCATGATACAATACACAGATAGCTTTTGACTGCCCTTTGTTCCTGGATCTCCAAAGGACTGTTTACTAACCTCAAAGTGCTCCTTAACAGATATACCCCCAACAGGGGGCCGGACTTTGCTGAATAGGCGGAGAGCTAGCTGTCGCCCAGACTGGCAGGAGCTCTGGGGCCGCAGGACTACCTGTAGGATAGAATGATAAATCAACCCACAAGTCCTCTGCAGACTAAAAGGAGAAGCAATAGTCTTTCTAAGATGAGCAAACTTTCACCATCTCAGATCACCACACTGTTTCCCATAGTGGGTTTATGTGGAAGGACCATTACAAATGGCCTGTGTTAGAAAGTATGTGAATGGGCTAGGAATGGGGAAATAAGACTTGCCTTGTAGACAGCATTGGGAAGAAGGTTGTTCATTGTGAACCAGCCCAACTCCAGAAGATGTTCTGCTGTATCATCAGATTTATTCACCTATAAAGACAGATTACCCCCAACCCCCAATCCATTATAATAAGCCTTTTCTTAGGAGCTTGCTAGAGAATTGCTACATAACCTATTTGTTTTCAGGTTCTCCATATGCCTAATCCCAACCTTTGAAATCTCTTTCAAACTCATATAATACCATGTTTTTCATGGGACCTACTGGCCAGGGCACTAAATGACAGTAGTATTTCCCAGTCACTGTGACATTCAAAAATAGTCTCATTCATTCCCAAACATCCTGGAAAGGGGCAGGGTCAGGGGGAAATGAACAATGTCCTCTCCTCTATGCCATGGGTAATTACAGGAAGCTGAATGCCAGTATAGAATTAAGGTTCTATTTCAAGCAGGACTTAGAATACCTACCTCTGGGCCACATTACTAGGGATAATCTTATTCACTGAGGTAAACATTTGATCACTCTCATCTATAACTGCATGTATCTAAGGGAAACTCTGCTCATGTTTCATCAGTAACCTTTAATACCATCATTAATCCTATATAATCCTATATATAAAATCCTAATATGCAAATCAACCGAACGGCATAATGACACGCACTGACCACCAGGGGGCAGACACTCAATGCAGGAGCTGTCCCATGGAGGTCAGTGCACTTCTGCAAGAGGAGCGCCACTCAGCCAGAAGCCAGGCTCACAACTGGCGAGTATAGCAGCGGTTGTGGAGCCTCCCCGGCAGCACTAAGGACCCTTGGGGGATGTCTGCCTGCTGGCTTAGGTGAGGGCTTAGGCAAGTGGTCACAGACTGTGAGAGGGCACAAGCTGGGCTGAGGGACACCCCCCCACACTCATGCACTGGGCCTCTAGTAGTTATATAATAACTAGCCCCTTTTTGTTTCTCTTTTTGTGAGTTAGACTCCTAAGATAGGCCAGTGCCTCTCAATACAGCTGCCTTTGTGTGATTGTATATACCCAATACCTTGCTATAGAGAAACCGCTGCAGCTCCAGTTCAGCAATTCCTAGCTGTCCATCTTCCTCTGTCAGGCGCCAACGTGCCTGAGCAAAGTAGAACTCAGTGCGACGGACCACACTCACATCTTCCTGCTGCTTTCGCAGCTCCATCTTGTTGGCCTGCTGCAACTGGAAATCCTTAAAACACCTATAAATGGACAGGAGGATCAAAGCCAATATGGGCAATAGCATTTGGGTTGGGGGTTGGATGGAATGCTCTAGAATGATGCATAAGATAAACCCAGAGATGGATCTATTCTGGAACAGCTATCCTCTACATTTTTTTCAAAGGATTGCTTCTCACATCCTGCCATAGGAATGCAAATCCATCTTTCAGTTCTACAGCTTCTTGATAAAGTAATCTCTTTTCACTAATAACACCTATGATTATGTCTGTAATTGTTCCTTTCTAATCACTTCAAGATATTTTATTTTCAGCTCAGCCACACAGTATTAAGACCACAAAAGTGATCTTTCCCAACTAGCCATTTTTCTCCTTTCCCAGCAGGTACTCTATTGATGATCCAAAGGAAGGGGTCTCTTGTTCTCAACCTTTTGACTAAGTGCAGTTAAGGCTCATCAGGAAGAGATGCTACATCAACCTTTGATAATACTCACTAGATGTAAAGACTATCAGAATGTGGGCAAAGAAATCGACTCCAGCTGGGGAACTGGAAAAAGGCAGAAAAGAATGCTGTTTCACCTGATGAGGATATTAAGCTCTTCACTTTCAAGCTGTAAATTGGCCTTCTCCTGGTTGAGCTGCAACTGAAGCTTTTGGTTCAGGTCAAGAAGGTTCTCATTCTTGCTGTCATCCTGCAAAGACTAGGGAGCCAGGCCAGGAGAAACTGAGAGGAGATCTCCCTCATCTTAGGAGGCCTCCCTGTCCTCAGACTGCCCAGGTGATTACCTTCATGATAGAATACATCTGCTTTTCCAACTGCCGTATCTGGGCCACATGCTGCCGCACGGCCTCCTGCAAATGTAATATGCTGCTGCGCTGCTCCTCAGGATTGCTCGAAATCTCAAGCTGGAACCT